AACCCCAGAGGGTGTTCTGATTCTCTGTGATCAGGGTCAGAGGAGATGGTGTCACTTTAGCTGCCTCCTAGCTGCTGGCTGTGCTGGCTGGGAAGGTGGAGTCCAAGGAGTGAGCCTTTGTGTTCCCTGCTGTAAGGGGCAGGAGGAGCTGGCCAGGATGCTGCAGGTGTTCAGAGGTTGGCGCTGATTAACACCAGCCCCCTTGCTTCTCCTCAGCTCCTGGTGGGAGGTCTGTTCTGCCTGGCCTCCTGCCTTCTGGGACAGCAGGGTTTACCTTACACTCTGTTCTCTCTCTGGTCCTTTAGAGATCACACTGCCCTCTCACTTGCTATATAATTCCCACTTGCCAAGCAAAAGTGACACTCCCAATATCTGTCTTGTAGACAGTCTAGTTGCTGGGTCCCATGGTGCAACTGGGACCCAGGATGGAGCCCTGAGCTAATGCATAGCTGGCCCTCAAGGACCTGAGTGGCCGTAATCTTGAAGTCTAAGAGTGGTTGAAACCCCCAGCCTTCTTCCCTCTAAAGATTTGGTTGCCTGTGTGTTGTTTCTCTCTGATTAAGCCCATCTAGCTAAGAAGGGTGGCACATACCAGGCTGGAAGGTGTGAAGGACGTGGGCTCTGTAGCCAGTCTGATTGCCATCATCCATACCCCTGGCTTTAGTATTTCTTAGCTGAGTACCTCTCCACAAGTTCTTCGGCCTCTCTACAAGTTGTTTAACCTCTTTGGACTTCATCTTACCCAGAGGATGGAGATGGTAATGGTATTTAACTCATTCAGATATCGTAAACCTTAAATAATTTATGTAGAGTGCAAGTCACAAAGCACTCAGTACTTAAAAACCATCCTGCTGAGAATGTAGCTTAGTTGGTAGAGTGCTTGCCTAGCATGCAATAAGCCCTAGATTCAATCCCCAACACTGCATAAACCAGATATAGTGGTGCACACCTCCTGACTGTGAAGTGGGCAGGGGAACCCCTGAGCTGCTCTGTTTTCTCAGAAGTGCTTTGTGAGCTCTAGTGTGCATGTATAGAACAGGGAGCAAGTGGCCTCTCCTTGTTCTTCTCCCCAGGAGAGGTAGGGAGGTCAGTCCCAGCAACCAAGCCCAGAGGGGAGGGCAGTATCACTTATGGAAGTCTTCATAGCCTACTACCTCCTGGTCATGGAGCCCCAGGCACTGCCCACCCTCCCCACAGGCATGAGTCAGAAGGAGAAAACGGGAACACAGGAACCCTGTTGTGTCTGCCTTGGGTATGGGGGCAGCCAGGCCTGACAGCTTCAGGTGAAAGCCCTTAGAAAGTCAGGCTGACTAGAACTGCGTTCCTGGAACATCAGAGAGAGAACACGTACACATCCCATTGATTTTGCTCCTGGCATGCCTCTGAATCCATTCTCACACCAGCCCTTAAGGACAAATGACGCCACCTGGGTGTCCATCACTGGCAGAGTACAGTGGAAGAGGGGGTTGGGTACATGCACGGCATGGCACACTAGGCTGCAGTCCAAAGCAGACAGATATGTACAGGACCTTATCGATGGATCATATTACATGCCCTAATGCATCCAGAACTTCTGGGAGTCTGCTAACCCACACAGCAAGGGCTGGAAGTGGAGCACAAGGTAGAGTGCTTACTAGTTCAATCCCTAGACCTGCAAAAAAAACAAAAACTGTAAGGAGCCAGGTTGAAGGGGCTCTTACAGGCCAAATCTGGAATGATCTGGGCAACAAATTAAACACAACAAGTATAAATCACTAGAAACACTAGAGTCCCTATGGATAAACAGATGGACTGGCAAGAAGGTCAGGTTACCACAGTCTGAGGGACTGTGGGTGTTGGGAAGCCATCAGTCTCCAGCCGTCATGAAGATTGGTCCAGTAAGGAGCATCTGTGGCTGCTGAGTGGAAGCAATGTTGGTAAGGAGACTTACGCTGGCCTGCTCTTAAAGTTGTCCTTATAGACTTCTTGTTAGTGACAAAGGAAGAAACAAAACAAAAACAGGAATTTTATGGGGTGGGGGACCAGGTACCACACTGATGGATTGACCACAGTGAGCCTTCAGGATGAACCATGCAGTCTTGCAGCTGAGGATCAGTGCTTCTCACAGAATAAAGGGTTCCTCCTTTTCCTCATGAAGAAAGTAATGCATAGGACAGAAATGGTTAGTACAGAGTAAAGCTGGATTTCAGTTAGGGCTGTCTGTCCATTTTATGTCTGGTATGTTCTAATTTTTAATTTTTTAAATGTTTACTTATTATGTTGTGGGCTTTCAGAGGTCAGTTCCCTCCTTCTACCATGTGGGTTCAGGACTTGAACTCAGGACCTCAGGTTTAGCAGTAAGCATGTTTGCCCACTGAGCCATCTCATTGGCCCTGCCACCCCATTTCTAACTGTGTTTGGGAATTCAAGCAAGTTCATTGCTACCTATATTTGTTAGAAAGTAATATCTTGGATGCTTTTTGAGAAATGTCCTGTTATTTGGGTACATCGAGTGGGAGACAGTTTGAAACTTGATTTCCACATTCTGCACATTAGAATTTGGGAAGAAAGGTATAATAGGAATAGGTTTGCTCTGACTCAAAAAACATGCTAGTCTAGAACTGACCATCCTTGCTAGCACAGCCTAGGATTCCTCAGGGTGCTCCTATAGGTATAGAACACAGGGGGACGCAGTTCCTAGAGTACAGATGATGTCACATTTCAACTGGCCTCCCTTAGGTGGAACCAAGATGGTTGTAAAGGGTTCTCCACAACACAGGTCCACAGGTGGGCAAGTGGTGGGTAGGTGGGTGGACAGAATGTGGTGTATACAGACATACTCTTGCTTTAGGGGCTCCTCAGGAGCAGAGTGGACCAGGTGCTGGCACAGAGAATGGGGCTGCCACCATCATGAGAAGTTTACATGTGGCCAGACACGGTCACCTCTCAGCAGGGACAGTCATAAAGTCACATACATAATATGTCTTGTTCTTTTTTTTAATTGAATTTTATTTGATTTATTTTGCATGTAGAAGTCAAAGGACAATTCATAGGAGTCAGTTCTTTCCTTTTCACTATGTGGGTCCTGGCAAGTGAACTGAGGTCCTCAGACTTGGCAGCAAGAGCCTTTACCTGCTGAGTCATCCCCCTCCCTATTTTTAAGTCTAAGTCTCATGAGTCCACACTAGCCTCAAGTTCTCTATGTATGAGGATCTTGAGGTCTTGACCGTCTGATTCTTCTGCCTCTACCTCCTGTGTGCTGGGATTGCAGACATATACCACCATGCCTATTTTATTTAGTTTGGGGAATCAAACCCAGAGCTTTGTGCATGCTAGGCAAGTACTCTACCAACTGAGCTGCATCCCCACCCCCTAGCAGGTTTTTCACTTCACAGCTATATTGAGATAGCTAATACTCTGAAAATGTGCAATTCAGTGACCTTTGGCATAGCATATTATTAATTTTTAATATTGTGATATGGGGCTGGTGAGATGGCTCATTGGGTAATGACACTTGCTGCCAAACATAAGTTTGGTCCTAGGATCCCAAGTGGTGGAAGAAGAGAATTGAGTCTCAAAGATTGTCCTCTGACCACCACACCCATGCTGTGGCACATAGGCACACACACACAGACACATAAATAAATGTGTTTTGTTTTTTTTTTAATTGTGATATGGGGGGCGGCTGGAGAGATGGCTCAGCAGTTAAGAACACTGACTGTTCTTGCTGAAGAGCTGGGTTCGAATCCCAGCACCCACATGGCAGCTAACAACTGTCTGTAGCTCCAGTTCCAGAGGATCCGACAGCCTCTTCTGTCCTCCGCGGGCATTGCACAGCATGGGTACACTTACCTACATGCAGGCAATACACGCATACACATAAAATAAAAATAATAAATAAAATACTTAAATTGTGATATTATAGGTGACAAAATCTTGTCATTTTAACCATTTGTAAGTTAGTATGCTGCTCAGTGGCATTAATTACATTTATAATATTGTGCAGCCATCACTGCCATCCATTTCCAAAATGTTCTCATCACCCAAGACACTCTAATTTTTACTTATTTATTTATATTTATTTTATTTTTATGTATATGAATGTTTTGCCTGCATGTATGCAACTGTACCACATGTGTGCAATGCCTGTGAAGGCCAGAAGAGGGTGTCAGATCCCCCTGGAACTGGTGTTACACACAGTTGTTAGCCACCGTGTAGGTGCTGGGAACCAAACCCCAGATTCTCTGTAAGAGCAGCCTGTGCTCTTAACTGCTGTGCCATCTCTCCAGCCCTGACACCGTATCTATTAAGCAGTGACTTGACTCGTCTCTTCCTCCAGCTCTTATAGTATCTTCTGCTATCTCCATGATGTCACATTCTAGATGCCAAGTGCCCTCCTGCCTGCCTTCTTTCATTAGGAATGTTTTCAGAGTTTGTGTTGAAGCATGTATCTGAAATTTTCCTTTTTAATGGCTGAATGGTATTCTATTACATTTATATACAGTATCTATCTGTTGATGGATATTAAACTATTATGAATAGCTGTGCTGTAAACCTTCATGTAGTAAGATTTGAGTACCTGCCTTTAACTCCTTTGATTCTGCTTAGGAGTAAATTTTTAGGTTTATATGGTAATCCTAGGTTTGAGACCCCTAGTTCTCCATGTCCCCAACCCCCACCTATAAAAGAAGCAGTCTCTTGTAGCCCAGGCTAGCCTCAAACACACTATGTAGTCAAGGATGATCTTGAACCCTTGATCCTCCTGCCTTCACCTCCATAAGTGCTTGGATTATAGGTATGTGCTACCATGCCCAGCCTGGGTCCCCATTTATAAACTTGCTTTTCCACATGTGGTTCTGATGGACTGGTTGCAGCCCCTGATAGCCCATTACACAGGGCTGGGTACCCTGAGCTGAGCCCATGTGTGGTGGCCCATAGACAGGTGCCCCTAACCACTGTGTGTTCCATCACATGTCTTAGCTTCCTCCCACCCTCTAACCTGTCTTCTCTCTACCCAACAGATGTTCCTGTGGAAAAGCTGGCTGCTATGCCAGCCCTGCGTGTCATCAACCTGCGCCTCAACCCACTCAGCGCCGAGGTGCGTGTGATTGCCCCACCACTCATCAAGTTTGACATGCTCATGTCTCCAGAGGATGCACGGGCCCCTCCGCTTTAGACCATCCTCCTCATGCCCACTCAGCGAGGGACAGAAGACACTAGTCTGGCACCTTGAGAGGAGAAAGGCCCATGGGAGGCTAAGCTTCGGGGCATGAGGGTGGGTGGGCTGGACATTGTGCTGGGGGAGGGCTGCAGCCAAGCCAGGATAGCTAGCTTAGCACAGTAGTGGGTCCAGAGGGACGAGGCCAGGTGGAACCAGGCCTGGGCTTGGGGTACTCACAGCTGCTGTGCAAACGTGGGCAGGTCTCTTGTCCTCTCAGTCTTGTTACTTGTGAGAAGGAATGGTGGCAGATAGCCTTTGCCTGCTTGGGCCCCCTTGGAGGTCCTTCCTCTACATCATCATGCACCATCAGAGCTCATGGACAGGCTTTGCTGGGCATTTTCTGGGCCCTGTGGGTCTGAGGCCTCATTTCTAGTGCTGAGAGCCACTCACCGTCCTGAGAGGAATAGAAGACAGCCTCCATCTATTTATTGCTTTCTGAGGACTGATCACAGTGAGGCCCTTCATGGTGCCATGTCCTGGTCATCAGGGTCCTTGGACTGCCAGGAGCCTGAACCAGGAGTCCTGGGGATGCCTGTAGTGTGTGGCAGGGCCCTGTGGCAGGACAGGAGTGTTTATGACGGAACCTGAACCTAGGGCCATGTGGCCAGGGCATAGAGGAGCAACTCAACTCGAGCTCATGCTGTCCTTCCTTGTGACAAAGACATCGTGAGGAGGAAGTTTTGTATGCTCCATCCCATTCCTCCCTGAGTGTAGCAGGTGTGCCCAGGCATTACCCCAAGAGCCATAGGAGAGGTAGCCCAGAGAAGACAAAGCCATCTTATTTGTGCCTATGACTCTGACCTGAGGTAGCCAGGTGGCCACTTTCACCATGGTCTTCCTGTGGCTTTCCTCTGGCAGCAGCCAGGCTACTTTGTCCTGACCCTGGGGTAGAAGACACTTTGAACCATTAGATGAGTAACCAGCCAGCCCCAAGGCCATCCCCTATGACCAGCCATCTTGAACTCTTTGCCTGTGGCCTAGGGGTGGCCAGTCAGTAGTGTGTCAAGCTATCTCAATGTGCCCAGGACTGAGGCATTTCTCAGGATTTGGGACTTTCAGTGCTGACTCTGGGACATTACATCAAGTCAGGACAATCAGTCCCTTCCCATGAGGGGGCTGGACTCTCACCCCCCTGATAAAGCTTGCTCTTGGGACCCTTGACCTCCTGATCTCCAGCTATCTACCTCCTACCTCCTCACCTGTTGCAGCAGGCTGATAGGCCAGCTCTTACCCTGGCTGGTCTGCATCTTTGTATGTCTGTGCAGGCCTGAGAGCTCCCAGGACATGGGCAGAGCTAGGTCTCTTCACCTTTTAGAGAACTGGAAGTTCAGATCTCACGCCACTGCTCAAAGTACAAAGAAGTACACTTGGGTCCCTATGCCAGGCCTCCTATCTAGAAGTATTGTTGGCATTGCTGAGTGCTGTGTATCTCAAGATGGACTTTGTCCACTCTGCTGGTGTCCTCAGGCCAGTCAGCCAAGTAAGGAGAGTTCCAGGTGAGGATATTGAGACAGGGTTACTGAGTCTAGCTGTAGACCTGGGGGCCAAGCAAGGACTGAAGTGCAGGAGGCCTCGCCCACCCTGTCCTTGAGCTGGAATTTCATCTTGTTGAAGAGACAATTTCTCTGGGATACAAGAGGAATCCTATGGGTGGGGCTTTGCACAGAGCAGTGTGCGCTGTGAATGAGCAACAGCATCACCTAACATCAGCTTGCTAGAAATGCAGTCGCCAGCAGCAATGGTGCACACCTGTGATCCCAGCGCTCAGGACCAAGGCAGGATTGTGTATGTGAGGCCAGCCCATGGGTCGTAGTGAGAACCTATCGCAACAACAACAGATGAAAAAGTAAAAGAGAGAGAAAAAAAAAAACCCTGCAGAGTGCTGGGCATGGTGGGGCCCACTTATAATCCCAGCACTTGGGCGGGGAAGCAGAAGGATCAGGTGTTCAAGACCAGCCTCAACTACATGATGAGTTCAAGGCCAGCCTGGGCTACACGAGACCCTACTTTAATAAAGTTAAATTTTGAAAAAGGGGAAGTTTCAGGCCTCACCCTGACTTTCTGATTCAGAAGCTGTATTTTAATAAGATCTGCAACTGATTCCTTCACGAACTTCATAGTTGGAGAGTCGAGGGCTTAGGTGGCCTGGGTTTGTCCTCAGCATGGAGGGTAAAAGCCTGCAGCTCTCCCCCTTCCACTTCCATGGATCAGAGTGTGTGCTCAGCCTCCTTCTCCCCCAGCTCTGGGAGATCCTTGGCATGTTAGACATCTTGGCTTGGTCTGCATGTCACCCCCAGGGAAGGGAGTGACTGTGGTCATGATGGTGGTCACCAGGAGATGAGAGCTGGGTGAACCCTGCCCCTGCACCATGCTGCCTCTCAGGTGTACCCCTGCACAACAAACCTCCTGCATTCCCAGGTCCCAGCCCCAAGCTATTTGCAGGATTGCTCCCTGAACTTGTCTTCTGTGCTGTCAGTGTGCCCTAACCTGTCTGGGCAAGCTTGGGCAGTCAGAGAAACCTTCAAATCCAGGCTCATGGTGTGAGTGAGCCATTAGCTTCAGTCTGCAATAAAGAATGGATGTGTTGGTTTCCTCTGTCTACATGGTGTTTGATTCATTCTTTTGGCATAGACTCCTGGGGGGGTGTTAATGCTAGGTGTCACCTGCCCACCTATGAAGGGGGACTGCCCCTCTTGTAGAGCAAAACAGCTGCCGTCATTAGATCAGCTGTGTCTGCCAGAGCCCCCACCCCCCAGGCTCAGGCCTATTAACTGTGGTCTTTCCCTCAGAGAACAGGTGTGGGTGTGTGTGTGTGTGTCACTGGACCACTCCTCCTAGCAATTTGTACACAAATATATAGGCTGTGAGAAAGTTCACTGAGAGGCTCCATCTGTGTAGCTAGGGGGAAGCCCTCATTCATGCTGAGTGAAGGCTTTCCAACGTGGCAGCTTTGGGATCACCCATGCTCCTATAAGCTACTCCTCACCCATACTCTGTAAGTGAGCCCAGTAAACTCATTAGTCCCCAGGGTGAGCTGTAGTGGAATCCTTGATTTATCTTTGGGACTTTATGAGGAAGGGGGACATCCAGGGGTAAAGGCAACTACATTGAGCATACTTAGAATAGTTAGGGGCGTGTAGATGCAGCCACCCAGAATGCACAGCCCTCTCAGCAGTGTCCTTAGGACCCTGGGAAGAATGAGGAGCCCATGGCCCCAGTTGCCCTCTTACTAGTGCCAGATATTGCATGTTTTGCCACTAGTTCCTCTGGGTCCCTGGCTCTCAGAGCTGGTCTCTGAACAGGCAACCCAGGGAGCTGATTAGAAGGATAGTGACTCTGCGCACCCCAGATCCAGAGTTAGAAGCTCAGGGCTGGGGTGGGGGTGGGGGGCCCAGTGCTGTCCAAAGCCCTCCAGGACTGATAGGTACACTCCAGTGAGAGAACTGCCACTCCAGGTTCAAGACTTTGTATTGTCAATCTGAGAGGCCAACTTGAATTTGCCTTGTATTGTGGGCCAGATTACATCAACGTTTTTATTGAACAGACACAGAGAGCTCAGTGGGTAGCAGGCACATTATAGCTGTTAACGTGTTTATCCCTTGGAATTGTCTTTTTGAGCTTTGTGGTTCCCAGAAGTTTCTGCCTCTCTCCAGACCTTGGTTCCCATCTGCACAGTGAAGGGGCTACATTAGGAGAACCCCAAGGGCCTTCCTGGAGTTCACATAATCCCTGTTTCTCAGACTCTTCCTCTGTGAATTAAGCCTCCCCTCCTCAAAGACCAAAGGACTTCCTACCTGCAGAGTTTCCTGTCAAATGGAGGCTCACAAGACATCAGCAGGCAATTGGCTGTGAGCTGGTTTGGACAAAGCCTATCCAGTACTTCCTGTAGAGAGTTTTCTCTGAGAAGGACTGCTTTTAGGCAGACCAGGAAGGCTGGTTGATTAGAGTAGATGAGGATAGGTGGGTATAGCAAGGGGGCATTTTGGAGTCAAGAGTCCTTTCGAGTTTTACTACTATTAATGCTCCTTTAAGTGACTCAGAAAGTTCCTGGGATGAACAGTTAATTGTTGATTTTACTTTCTGGGCAAGAGGTTCCTGGAATGGAACAGCCATATTGAAGAAGATGATAGGATAATGGAATTGATAGAGATAATACATTATGTGGGACCAGAAGGTTTCAATTGCAAGTGTCCCTAAAATAGCATGTTGGACCTCAGAACCCTACTTTCAAGCTACTGTTTACCTAAAATTTGCCTGTCCCTTCTCAGAAAGCCATCCAGGGGAGCAGTTACCCCAGAAAGCCTCAGTAGAGTATTGAAAGAGAGATCAAGGCCAGGCCAGGCTTAGGGTAAGAGCCACTTTGAGGCTGTTGGGTGGGAAAGCTCTGGACAACCAGACCATGCTCAGACTAGAGTCTCAGGGTTGAGCAGGTCAGATCTATCCCTGAGAAAGATGACACAGACCGCCAGTGCGCCCAGGCTTTGTGTTCACCTGCTGCAAGTCCAGGGTCTGTGGTATGAGCGCTGAGCCTCCCAGGATGCCTGTGTGCGTAAAGCAATTCATTGCTTTCTTTAGCTGCTATGTTCTCATGAAAAGGCCTCTCTGAGCCTTTACTTTCCTCATCTATAAAATACCTAATCAATAGACCATATGCATTATGTGAGCACGTAATTCTAGTTTTTCTAGTTTACACAGCACAGGTATGTAATGAGCATTATGCCAGTGTCATGCCCATGAGATTTCTCACAGCTACTTAAGGCCCACCATTGTGAGCAAAGCCTTTGGTGTCCAGGTGTCCAGCCAAGAACTCAGCCTCTCTCATGGCCATGCAGAACTGCATGCCACACATCCTTGGGACCTACCTGGAGGCTGATGGGGAATGAAAGGCCATCAGCTCCTACCTCATCCCACTTTTCATAGGTAAGCAGTCTACAGAGTTGAACATCATGACCCATACCTGTAAACCCAGCATCTGGGAGCTGAGGCAAGAGGATTGCTGTGAGTTCAATGCTTAAGCATGGGAACCATCTTAAAAAAAAAAAAAAAGCGGGGCTGTAGAGATGGCTCAGTGGTTAAGAGCACTGACTGCTCTTGCAGAGGACCCAGGTTTGATTCCCAGCACCCACATGGAGGCTACGAACCGTCCTTAACTCCAGTTCCAGAGGAATCCAAAGCCCTCTTCTGACCTCCGCGGCATTGCACGACATGGTGCACTCACATACATGTAGGCAATACACTTGTACACATAAAATAAAATATTTTTTAAAAAAGACAACAAATCTGTGCACACCTGTCTTGGGTTTCTGAGGACAGCTAGTGAGCCAGATGATGAGAGGATGGGGGCCTTGGTCAAGAGCCAGCTGGGGCCTGGGTTACTCCTGTGCCTGTCCAGATTCCTACCAGGAGAGGCACCTGGGCACCTTCTGTCCTGTAAATGGGAACAATCTAGGAGAGAGTACCTACCAAGGTGGGCTCTGTGGACCTGTGTTAGTGTGTAGCTCCTGGAGGGTGTTCACACTACAGTGGTCATAGCTGGCACCATTCACACTGAATGCAATGAGATTCACCTCCAAGAACTGTACAAGGGGTGGTATCGTAACTCTGGACCAGTTCTAGGAATCAGTCACATAGGGGCTTTGCAAGATGCAAAGCCCCAGATCTACCTGAGCCCCCAGTCATCCAGACTGTGGAAGTAGGGCTCATACCTGTGCTTCCTGCTAGCCATCCTAAGTACCCAGAGCATACCTCTAGATCCCAGGTCATTCATCTACTCCAAGTCTTTAATGGGTGTCCATTTCCTTCAGGGTAAACCAAGGCCTCATAGGAATCTTTTGAACCTGGTATCATTTGCCCTGTTACTTCTCCAATGGACCACTGGGCTGTACTCCTGACCCCCAACTTTTTCTCTATCCATAGTGCTTATCATCTGCTGTATACCTTATACACATTTTAAAAATTATTTTTACTTTATGTGTGTGTGTTGCCTGCATGTAGATAAGTGCACCCATGTCATGCAATGCCTGCAGAGGTCAGAAGAGGCTGTCAGATCCCCTGGGACTGGAGTTACAGACAGTTGTTAGCTGCCATGTGGGTGTTGGGATTTGAACCTCAGTCTTCTGCAAGAACAACCAATGTTCTTAACCACTGAGCCATCTCTCTAGCCTCACCTTATACACATTTACTCTGACCACTGTTTATATCTCCTGGACCCTTCACCTGTCTTGGGTTTCCCCAGGGTCCTCTAACCCCCATCTCTGGAGCATCACCTGACACATAGTAGGCACACAATGCCTATCCAATGACTGACTGAAAAGGTGGGTGCTAATGTTGCTTAATTTTTAGAAATCTGAGCTTTTGAGAGAATTGCTCTCAAACAGGACCACTGCCAGCTCAAGGTCAGGTCCCATATTAAATAGCTGTTTCCCACAGGGGCTGTTTGCTTCCATAGGACTGAAAAGTATCAGGAACCTTCCTCACATTGGTCTTCCCAAAGCTTCACAAGCCATGATATTGTGACTGGGGTTTGTCCCAAGTGAGGTGGCCAAGAACCCATATGCACAGCCCAAGAGAGGACGGGAAGTCTCCCAGCATTGTCCCCCACCTCTCTGCCCGAGAGCTCACCCTTACGGAATTGCTGCTTTCAGACAAGCATCACCCTCTCCTTGTGATGGTAACTCCACCCATCAAGATTGATTGACAAAGCTGAGATAAAGTTGAGGGACTGAACAGAACAGACCCTTGCTACTTAGAGTGTGGTCTTCTGCCAACAGCATCAGAAAGAGGCTGTGTGTGTATGTGTGTTTCTTAGAAATAGAGTCTGTGTGTGTGTGTGTGTGTGTGTGTGTGTGTCTTAGAAATGGAGTCTGGTTGGGAATGTAGCTCAGTGGCATAGCATATGCTTATATGCTTAGCATATGCAAGGGCTTGGGTTCAGTTCTCAACACACAGGCACACATAAAAAAGTGCAGTCTAAATCCTAACTCTCAAATCTGCCCTCTACCAAGATCTGCATGTGACTCATGTACATGATTAGCCTACAAGTAACAAGAACCAACTTTAGGGTTTCTTCCTCTTCTCCCTCTCCTTCCTCCTCCTTCGTTGTCAACTCAACTGGATTTGGAACCATCTAGAAGATGCACCACTGGTCATGTCTGTGACGATGCTTCCAGAGAGGCTTAACTTAGGAAACAAAACAGACATTGAAATAGGATGGTGTGATTCTGTGGGCTGGGATGTCAGAAGGAATAGAAAGGGAAAGGAAAAAGACTGAGCCGAGCTGCCACACTCATCTTTGTTCTTCCTGACTGCAGGTACAGTGTGACCAGCTGCCTCAAGTTCTTGCCCTGCCCTTCCCTACCATGCTGGACTGTATGAACTATGGAGCCAACAGCTACCCCTCCTTAAGTTGCTTTTGTCACAGCATCAAGAAAAGTAACTGAAACAACCTCCACCCCCTCCACCCCTTCCTGTTCTTCTTCTTCTTCTTCCTCCTTCTCTTTTTGGTAAAGGGTCTCACTCTGTAGCCCAGGCTAACCTGGAACTCACTATGAATCCAGACTAGGGTCAAACGCGTATCAATCCTGCTGTAGCCTCCCAAGTGC